CTGACAGGTCTATGAAGACAGCTCCTGTGATCTGCTGCCTTTCAAAGCCTTTGTTCTCACTGAAGGACGTGGTTGCATTCTTGATATATTTATATAGTCATGTTACTTTTCACAAGAGACTCATTATTGGCCATGTATATCATGCAGCGCATCCCATGGTCACCCGAATTTGATTCTGGTGAGACTGGGATGAATCTTGTCTATACTAGACATCCTTTCTGCTCTTTTCCCAGGTCCCTCTGGAAGCTGGACCTCTGTACTGTCATCCTGCCCCAGATCGAGAAGCTGCTGCAAAGCAGATACGAGAGGTGGGTCTTGCGGAGGGGGCAGGATCTAAGAGGCAAGGTGCAGTTTTATCTGGGGAGAGTTAAGTGGGGAAGCCTTGCTCCAGGTTGAGATGACAAAATACCGCATATACTCGAGTATAAACCGACCCGAATATAAGCTGAGGCACCTAATTTTATCACAAAAACTGGGAAAACGTATTGACTCGAGTATAAGCCGAGGGTGGGAAATGCATCCACTATGGGTCAATTTCAAAATAAAAGTAGATACCAATAAAATTACATTCATTGAGGCATCGAAAGGCTAAATGTTTCCGAATATTTACATAAAGCTGTAATTTAAGACAAGACTGTTGCAACCCAGATCAGGAAACGAGACCATAAGATTAAATCCACCACACTTGACTGTGGAAAAAACAATCCTTTTTTATTGATGAAAAAATGGTTACAAAATAGAGGAAAATGCAAAGTCAAAAAGCCACAGTAAAACTCAGCAGTCAGGAATATCTCTGAACTAGATCAAAATTCCAAAAGCAACACTATAAAAACCTGGAACCTGTTAGCATTTCACTAACCGTACTTGGAAACTAGAAGCCTCTGGGAATGCAGGCCATGGGAAACGGGAAATCTGCCTCAGTCTAAACCAGCGTTTCTCAACCTGGGGGTCAGGACCCCTGAGGGGGTCACAAAAGGGTGTCAGAGGGGTCGCCAAAGACCATCAGGAAACATTATTTTCTGTTGGTCATGGGGATTACTAGTGGGAAGTTTGGCCCAATTCTATCATTAGTGGAGTTGAGATTACTCTCTGATTGTAGGTGAACTATAAATCCCAGCAACTACAAATCCCAAATGTGAAGCTCTATTTCCCCCAAACTCCACCAGTGTTCACATTTGGGCATATTGAGTATTCGTGCCAAGTTTGGTCCAGATCCATCATTGTTTGAGCCCACAGTGCTCTCTGGATGTAGGTGAACTACAACTCCCAAACTCAAGGTCAATGCCCACCAAACCCTCCCAGTATTTTCTGTTGGTCATGGGAGTTTGGTTCAATTCCATTGCTGGTGGAGTTCAGAATGATCTTTAATTGTAGGTGAACTATAAATCCCAGCAACTACAACTCCCAAATGACAAAATCAATCCCCCCCCCCCCCAACCTCACCAGTATTCACAATTGGGTGTATTGGGTATTTGTGCCAAATTTGGTCCAGTGAATGGAAATACATCCTGCATATCAGATATTTACATTACGATTTATAACAGTAGCAAAATTACAGTTATAAGTAGCAACAAAAATAATTTCATGGTTGGGGGTCACCACAACATGAGGAACTGTATTAAGGGGTCACACATTAGGAAGGTTGAGAACCTCTGGTCTAAACGATGCTTGATCTAACAAGACAGCCCGGGGAGAGACACTTTAAACTAAAGAAACTGTTTCGGGACACGCCTCCAGGCTTTGAAGCCTTTTCCTTTAATCTACTTGACCTTCGCAGACTCTGCGATTCACTCCTGTTTTTTCCAAATCTGTCCTTTTCTATCCTCATTTAAAAAAAGGCAGGTGCTAGCTCCTCTGGAGAGTTATCACCCCTTGATTCTGAAACATTTCCATCAGGATGTGTAGTTTCACTTTCCAAGCCACTGCCCTCAGAATCAACAGTTTCCAAACCATCAGGGAAAGACAAATGCATGTTCAGTAGCCTGTTCAGTTGCATCAGGAAATACAATCAGAGAATCAGGTTCAGGTTCACACGGAGGCTGAACCCCAACAAAGACTGTCCAACTCTTATTAAACCATTATTCTAACCTCCTTCAATGTAAATGTACTTATTATTAAAATAATAAAAATAATAGAGTAACATAATGAAAATGCAATAAAAACAGTAATAATGGAGTAAAATAATAAATGTAGTAATAATAGGGTAAAATACTGTAAATGTAATAATAATAATAACAACAACAACAACAACAACAACAATCTATATAAATAAAAATGTAATGTTTGTTTGTGCTACCATCAGAACTCAAAAACCACTGGGCGTATTGACACCAAATTTGGACACAAGACACCTAACAACCCAATGTTTGTCCTTCATTCAAAAAAATTGATTTTGCCATTTGGGAGTTGTAGTTGCTGGGATTTATAGTTCACCTACAATCACAGAGCATTCTGAACCCCACCAACGATGAAATTGGGCCAAACCTTCCACACAGAACCCCCATGATCAACAGAAAATACTGGAAGGGTTTGGTGGGCAGTGTCCTTTGGTTTTGGAGTTGTAGTTCACCTACATCCAGAGAACACTGTGGACTCAAACAATGATGGATCTGGACCAAACTCTACACGAATACTCAATATGCCCAAATGTGAACACTGGTGGAGTTTGGGGAAAATAGAATCTTGACATTTGGGAGTTGTAGTTGCTGGGATTTATAGTTCGTCTACAATCACAGAGCATTCTGAACCCCACCAACGATGGAATTGAACCAAACTTGGCACACAGTTCTCCCATGACCAACAGAAAATACTGGAAGGATTTGGTGGGCAGTGTCCTTTGGTTTTGGAGTTGTAGTTCACCTACATCCAGAGATCACTGTGGACTCAAACAATGATGGATCTGGACCAAACTCTACACGAATACTCAATATGCCCAAGTGTGAACACTGGTGGAGTTTGGGGAAAATAGAATCTTGACATTTGGGAGTTGTAGTTGCTGGGATTTATAGTTCACCTACAATCACAGAGCATTCTGAACCCCACCAATGATAGAATTGGGCCAAACCTCCCACACACAACCCCCATGTGGGCCACAGCAACGCGTGGCAGGGGACGGCTAGTAATAATAATGAATAGATTAAAATAATAAATTTAATAATAATAATAATAGGGTAAAATACTGTAAATATAATAATAGAGCAAAATAATAGAGCAAAATAATGTAAATATTATAATAATAGAGTAAAATAAATGTAATAAAATAATACTATTAAGAGAGTAAAAGAATAAATAACCTTGACTCGAGTATAAGCCGAGGGGAGCTTTTTCAGCCTAAAAAAGGGGCTGAAAAACTAGGCTTATACTCGAGTATATACAGTATGTGTCATATAGTGCTATTATTATTGTTGTTGTTGTTATTTGTATTGTCGAAGGCTTTCATGGCCGGAATCACTGGGTTGTTGTAGGTTTTCCGGGCTATATGGCCATGTTCTAGAGGCATTTTCTCCTGATGTTTCGCCTGCATCTATGGCAAGCATCCTCAGAGGGAGTGAGGTCTGTTGGAAGTAGGAAAATTGGGTTTATATATCTGTGGAATGACCAGGGTGGGACAAAGGACCACCTTGATCTAAGTGTGAATGTTTCAACTGACCACCTTGATTAGCATTTGATAGCCAACCAGAGAAGTCAGCCATAGCAGAGCACCTGATGAACCAACCTGGACACAGCATTTTATTTGAGAACACAGAAATGCTGGACCACTCTCACAACCACCATGTCAGACTACACAGAGAAGCCATTGAAATCCACAAACATGTGGACAATTTCAACAGAAAGGAAGAAACCATGAAAATGAACAAAATCTGGCTACCAGTATTAAAAAACTCAAAAATTACAACAGCAAAACAACAGAGAGTAAACAATCAGGCACATCAAATCACCTCTCAAGAAAAGATTCCCCCAGGCATTGCCAACGAAAGGTCAGGAGGGAGGGAGCTGATCTAATATCCCTAGGCAGGGAGTTCCACAGCCGAGGGGCCACCACAGAGAAGGCCCTGTCTCTCATCCCCGCCAAACGTGTTTGCGAAGCAGGCGGGATCGAGAGCAGGGCCTCCTCCGACAATCTCAAGTTCCTGGTGGGTTCGTAGGAAGAGATGCGTTCGGATAGATAAGCTGGGCCGGAACCGAAATGACATTTATAAACCAGGAACAAAAAAAAAGCGTTACAAAGTGCAATGCAGTCCTGCCTTTCCGCCATTTCCCTTCCTGATTGTCCTCTTTCTTTCTCTCTCTCTCTCTCTCCTTTCTTTCTCTCCATCAGTTACATCCACACGGGCTGCACTTCTCTGAAGTTGATCCTGCAGCGGTTCCTCCCGGTGATCACCGACACCCTGGCTGCGCCGCCTTCCGTCGGGGTGGACATCTCCCGGGAGGAGAGGTAATAATATATAATAATAATATATATACCGCTCCACCTCCCCAAGGGACTCAGAGCGGTTCCCAAGTAATATCACAAAACATATAGAGTAAAAACAACATAACCATAAGATTAACAAAAAAATATATATATAAAAATTGTCACCATAACACACATATATTAAAAATAATCTTGCCTGTTCAAGGCAATTAAAAATTTCAAAGGCCAGGCCAAGATTTGTGCAAGCCCAAAAATTCTAGGGGGGCCGGGAATTAAGTGCAATGCTATAGCAGGCAACAATAATATTAGGAACGGGTCTGTGGCTGTTCATTCTGGGGCCGATTAGAGGAAGTGATCTGGGTAATTGGTAGGAAGAAGAAGGCCGTATTCGACAATGTGTGGGGCTGAGTTAGAACTGGTCATTTTCAAAGGCTTGTTGAAACCACCAGGTCTTCAAGCTCTTACGAAAGGAGGGGAGAGATGTGGCCTGTCACATTTCCTTTGGAAGGGCGTTCCAGGTAGTACATCCTTCCGCGGGGAGGGAGGGCTGGCCTTACCTTTGGGGTCATATATATATATGACTCCAAATGTAGAGGACGTTACAGTAGTCCAGTCTTGAGATGACCGTGGCCTGGTGTGGGATTCCTGTGAGAGCATAGCCTTTCTGCTGGTGTACCATGCACCTAGCAGCACCAGCAGACAGCCTATCCCAGCTGCTTGAGACTGTGTCGGAGTGGTCCTTGAGGTTCCCCAGACTTATCGTCTTGGGGGATTTCAATGTCCACGCTGATGCAGACTCTTGTTCATTAGCGGCTATGGACCTAGTGTCTACCATGGAGACACTAGGACTCTCGCTTTGTAGTACTGGGCCCACGCATCGGGCGGGACACACGCTAGATTTGATTTTCAGCGCAGGAATTCAAGTGACCCAAGCCTCCACAATAGAGGTTCCATGGTCGGATCACTGCGCCCTGAGAGTCCGGTTGGAGCATGCCTACCCACGCTGCAAGGGCGCCGAGCTAATTTGGGCTCGCCCAAGGAGACTTATGGAACCCAGTAGGTTCCGGAATGCTCTGAGGGATCTGGAGCCTGCCAGCGACTCGATCGATGTGCAGGTGGACACATGGAACATCAGGCTATCCAATGCACTAGACGAGATCGCCCCTAGACGCCCTCTCAGACCCCGCCGAAATCAGTCTCCTTGGTTCACCGAGGAACTTCGACTGATGAAGCGGGAAAAGAGACGGCTGGAGGGCGTGTGGCGAGAACTCCGTGACGGAGCATCGAGATCAGCTTATGAGGCATTTAGGGAGTCCTATGAGCATGCTATCACCGAGGCAAAGCGAGTATATTATGCTTCTTTGATAGCGTCTGCTAGCTCACGCCCGGCAAAATTGTTCAAAATAATTCGATCTCTAACGACGGTTCCTACCGTCCCAAAAAGTGGTAATCAGGCCCCTTCAGCCGAGGTTTTTCAGAGCTATTTTGCAGACAAGATCTCGCTACTTCGCCGGGACCTCCCCGCCACAATTGATACAGTGAGAGAACTTGAGACTCCGTGGCCACTTGCTGGGCCCATCCTCGACCGGTTCATCCCGCTGGACGCAGGGGCTGTCGATAGGCTCATAGCTGCAGCCAGACCGACCACTTGCTCCCTCGATCCGTGTCCCTCTTGGCTGGTGAAATCTTGCTTGGAGGGATTACGCGACCCTCTGTTGAAGATTATAAACAGCTCCCTTGAGCAAGGAGTTTTTCCAGAGGGTTTAAAAGAGGCGGTGGTCTCTCCCCTGCTGAAGAAACCAGATTTAGATCCTTCGGTTCCCTCCAGTTACCGCCCAGTTTCGAATCTCTCGTTCCTGGGCAAGGTGATTGAGAGGGCAGCAGCGGAGCAGTTGCAGCAATTCCTAGATGACACAGCCGGACTAGATCCCTTCCAGTCCGGCTTCCGTGCGGGGCACGGGACAGAGACTGTGCTGGTCTCCATCACGGATCACCTTCGATGCCAGCTTGACCCTCTGCAGGATGAGAAGGGCAGAATATAAATACGGTAAACAAATAGATAGAGACATAGATAAACATACAAAAATAATATTGGACAGTCCATAATCTAGTGGAAATTCCAGGTTGTCTTAGTGCTGCACCTGGAGCTCCTATTTGAGGGATGGCATCTTACTCTCAAGTATGACAATCCATCGAGCGACTCCTTTCCCCGGCCTCCACTTGATTTCCAAAGTACCAGGATTGGGATTCCTTTCCTTATTGCTTTGTGTGGGCTTCCACTTTCCTCCTTTTGTTGTTCCAGGCTCCAGAAGTGCCGCCTTTGCTACAGGCAGCTGAAGATCATCAACAACTTCGTTAAGAACAAGTCCGGGCTGAGCGGGCGCCACGGGAGCACCTTCCGGGAGCTGCACATCCTCATGGCCGGCTTGGAGTGAGAGGAGGAGCCCCAGAACAACGTCAACACAGCGTCTACTTCGCTCCTGGTCGGGTCCGGTCCTTTGTCCGGTCCCGGTCTCTTCCGCCAAAAGGAGGGAAAAGGCCCAGGCGGGGTTCTGCTCCCACCCCAGTGCCTTACAAGGCGAGATCTCTTCCAAGGAGGCCTTCCCGGAGACGCGCCTCCCGCTTCCTTTCCGGCGGCTCGAACCGGGTTATGCAAGTTTGGGACGAAAGAGGTGTCCTCGTCTCTTTAACAAGTCAGTGTCACAGAGAAGGCGGTCTCCCCCTCCACAATCCCACTCCCCTTTTAAATGTGTTTGAACTGCTGTGAATAAAGATATAACTTATGATGCATTTTCATAATAAAGAACCACGCATACATTCGTAAATGCCTGTTTTGTACGTTGTGTGTCTCCCCGATCTCGTGCCATTTTTTGAATCGGCAGGTCAAATAGACAGTGTTCGCTCACTTATCGCAGGTGTTGTGTTCCAGATAAGTGAAATAACATGAGGTAGGGATGCCTTCCTCATCATCATCGGTGACCAGCAGGACAAGAGTGAGTGAGTCCTAAAACCTTTGGGGGCAGCAGGTCCGCCCCGTTTGCCCCTCTCTCTTGCTGGCCTTTTCTCTCTCACTTCGCCTTCTCTTTCCTCTTTCCCCTCCCTCCCTCCTTCCCTTGGGCACCCATGCCACCCTCCCCTGGCAAGAGGGACACTTTCGCCTACACAGCCCTATTCCTCCTCGCCTTCCCTCCCTCCTTGCTTTCTTTCCTCCGCCATTTTCCTTCCTGAGGCTGTGGAAGAAAGAAGAGGAGGAGGAAGAAGAAGGGGCTCAAAAAAAGTCCGGAGCAAAGAGCTGGCCAGGACACACTGGGCCGCCGGTGGAGAGGACCTGGCGGAAGTGCGGCACCTCCTGCAGAAACAGCACGACCCGAGCGAGAGAGACATGAGGAGGGAAAGCGGCAGAGGAAGGAATATCCCGCTTTATTCCTCCATTCAGAGACTCAAAGCGGCTTGCAGTTAAACACGTTACAACTTTCAAATGTAGAAATATATAATCATGAAACAGTATTCCCATTATATATTATACTAGCTGTGCCCTGCCACACGTTGCTGTGGCCTATAGTAAAACTTATCAAAGTTGAGGTAGATATCTGGACTATGATGAAAGAGAGGTCCCTACCTATTCCTTCCCCCTTTTCCTCCCCCTTTCTCTCCTTTCTTCCTTCTCTACCTCTTTCTTTCTTTCCTTCTTTCACTACTTGGTTTCATCCTTCTCTCTTTCCTTCATTCCCTCCCCCTTTCTTCCTTTGCCTTTCTTCCCTCCCTGTTTGCTTCCTTCTTTCTCTTTTTATTTCCTTTTATTTCACCACCATCATAACAATAACAATAATGCAATGCATTGCCTCTGGGACCTGACACCTCTCCCATTCCCCCTAAAAGGGTCTCAGAGGAAGAATAGCATCATCATAATAATAGAAATAACAACCTTTACCCGCCACGTGTTGCTGTGGCCAACCTTCCCTCTTTCTCTCCTTCTTTCCCTCCTTCCTTCCTTCCTTCCTTCCTTCCTTCCTTCCTTTCCTCCTTCTCCTTTCCTCCTTCCTTCCTCCCTCCTTCCTCCCTCCCTCCTCCCTCCCTCCTCCTCCTCTTCCTTCCTTCCTTCCTTCCTCTCCTTCTCTTCTCTTCCTTCCTTCCCCCTTTCCTTTCCTTCCTTCCTTTTCTTCCTTCTCTCTTTCCTTCTTTCCTTCCTCCCTCTTTCTCTACATCTTCCCCCTTCCTTCACTCCCTCTTTCCTTCCTTCATTCCCTTTTTTCTTTCTTTCTCTCCTTCCTTCCTCCTTTTTCTTTCTCTTTTGGTCTCTTTTCTTCCTTCTCTCTTTCCTTCTTTCCTTCCCTCCCTCTTTCTCTACATCTTCCCTCCTTTTTTTCTTTCCTTCTCTCCTTCCTTCCTTCTCTCCTTCTTCCTTCCTTCCCCCTTTTTCTTTCCCTCCCTCTGTCTCTCCTTTCTTCCTTCTCTACCTCTTTCCTTCCTTCCCCCTTTTTCTTTCTCTTCTGCTGTCTCTCTTTCCTTTCCTTCCATCTTTCCTTTTCTTTCCTTTTTTTCTTCCTTCTTTTTCTAAATTTCCTTCCTTCCCCCTTTTCTTTATCTCCCTTTCT